TGCTCACAGCCCTGGGTTGATTTATTTTTTTAAGGGGGGTAGGTTTATTTTGGTGGGGCTGGGCGGGAAGGAAGGCTGGGGGTTTTGTAAAGTGTCCACCACGCGTCCTGTTAATTTTCCTCTATTTTTCCTCTTCCTCCCTCTGTCCCTCCTGCCTTCCTTCTCTTCCCAAGCCCTCCAGTCCCCACCCCAGGCTTGCTGTGTCCTTCTGTCCCCACCCTCCTTCCCCACTTCTCCTTTTTGAGTGTGTCTGGTTTCTCCCTTCCTTTCCTCCCTTTGGGATTCCAGAGTCGGCGGGAGGGTGGGCGGAGCGGCCCAGCGGTGGGCGGGGCGAGGGCGGGGCGTGCTGCCCGACTCCGCCCACGAGGGGAGGCGCCTGCATGGTGCCGCCCAGGGAAGGGGCTTGGGCCTGGGAAGGCCAGTTCTGTTGTGTGCCGCCGGGCGACGTGCATTGACGGGGAAGCTGCTGGAGGAGCAGGGGTGGGGGGCGGGGGGTCGGGGAAAGGCAAATGCAGATATATATTAAAGACAAATAATCTAGATACCGCGAGCAACAGCCTGTGGCACCCGCGGGGCGCGGGCAGCAGGGAAGAGAGGGAGCGAGGCATTGCCCCGCGGACTGCTGGGGTCACTTCTTTGCCCACGGGCTCCCTGCTCCCCCAGTTTTTTTTTCTCTCTTTGTTAACAAATGTGTCTGAGTCTTGGAAAAACACCCCAACCCCGGAAATGTGTGGGAAAAGAAAACAAAAACTTTCCAAATCCAGTGGTCCTGTGCAGTTTGTTCCAGGTGGGTGCTGTTGGGACGTTGGTCCTGGCTCTGAACTGGGGTCTGGGCCCAAATGGGGGTCCATGAGAGCTGGTAAGTAACCCCCAAAGTTTTGGGCTGAGCGTGGCTTTGGGCTCCTTGGGGCAGCTTGTCTTTGTCTGGGCTGAGGATGGGGGCAGGAAACAGCCCCCAGGTTTGCAGGCGATGACTTTAGCTTCTCAGGGCGCAGACATATCCCCAGAGGCAGGAGCATCGTGGTGCCCCCTAGTTGCTAAAGAGGGCCTGCACCTCTGGGGCCTGCGTGTGCCACAGCCCTCGGGGGAGGCCCTGTTATTCCCGGGTGGCAAAAGCTTTAGTGGCACATCCAAGGTCTCAAGGCAAATCAGTGGCTGAGTCCAAATTTGCCCCCAGTTCTGCCTAACTCCCAAGTCTCTGCTCCTTCTGCATCTCTGGGAGTTTGGTCCGGCCCTCCGCCCCCACGTCCACTCTGGCTGACTAGGCAGCTCCTTGGGCTGCAGGTGGAAGGAGAACCGGCACACCTCCTCCCCAGGTGTTTGCTCCTTCATGAATTCACTAAACAGGCCCACGGTCCCGGACACGCTGAGACGGGTCTATATTTGTTAAGCCTCTCAGTTGCAGGAGCAGAGACTCTCACGAGGCGGGAGTTGTACGTGAGGACCGCGTGTGCGGGCATCCTGGGACAGCAGAGTGTGGGTGGGTCTGCATCTCCCTGGTGGCGGTGGCGGATCGCCACGCCTCTGGACGCATGAGAGGCGACTCAGCCGTGGTTCTGTCACTCCGGTCTCCTCTGCCTTCTGCTTGGTGGATCCTGCCTCCCCCTCTGGCTCTGCTCTCTCAAACACTTGGCTTGTCATCACCCTTCACCGCCTGGTTCTGCTTCATGAGCTTGCATCCGAGGACGGCTCTGCTGCTGGCCAGCTCATTCTTGCGGCATTTCCCAGTTCACAAACCTGGTCCACATTTAGGCCTGGGCACCCCCGGGGTCCTTGGGCTCAATGCCCGCAGGAGCCCCACCCAGGTCGGCCTCATCTCCCCCTCTTTCCTCCATCCTGGGATGAAGCAGCAACTGAGGTTGCGGGACAAGCGGGGCCCCAGCCTGAGGTCGGCATCACTGAGGTCAGCTCTAACCCCCTGTGGAAGCCTGGGGGAGGCCCTGACTTGGGGCAGTCTTTCCAGGATGTCCATCCTTCTGCTGGCAATGGCCATGCCCCTCAGTCTGCTGTGGCTGCTCTCTCTGTCCAAGGGATGGAGACTTATCTTGGGTTCCCCTGCCCCCGTAACCACTAGCCAAAGAAAACAAAGACAGGCAGGCAGGAGTTCCTTGGTGTCAGGAAGGGAACATCCTTACTCCAGAAATTTCTAGAATGGCCAGTCTGTCAGAGTAGGGGGCCAGAAATAGGGACAGTGCAGGAGTTGGAAGGGTGGGCCCCAGCCCTGCTCATTGCCATGTGGCTGCGGGACTGGGTGTTTTCCTCTCTGCATAAGGAGACTAAGAGCTCCTGGTACTCAAGGGCTTGGTTGTAAGAGGAGAGACTCCTGGACTCTGCCATTGACTCAGTTTACCGTCTGTGAGAGATGGTCGCCTCCGTCTCAGCTCCTTCGTCCTGTGCATCTGATGTTGAACTTAACACCTGGACCTGAGCTGGGCTCCTGGGGGTCTGGCTGGCCTGGTGGTGACCCCCAGGACAGTTCAAACAGCATCTGGGGGTGGCTGAAGTTTCAAGCACCCCACTCCTTGACAGTTGGTTTGCAGGGATGTGTCAGGAGATTCCTCCTGGGGTTAGGGGGGACCAAGGACGGGTGTTGGGGAAGAAGCTCACAGTGACGTCAAAAGCTGATGCTTTTGACCTTCAAGACCTGTCCTGGCCACACAGCCCCCAAGGGAGAGGACTCAAGCTCAGCCAGTGCTGGGGCTCTTATGGGAGGACACCCTCTCCTGAAAGTGGATATGGAGCCCGTGGTACCCAGCACTACCCCTCTCCACACACCCTCCTGGGTGAGCTGCAGGTCTGGCTGGAGGCAGGAGAATGGCCAAGTGGGTCCTGAACCGCTTTCCTGTCCCCACTGCCTGAGGCCTCTGCCGCCGTGGGGGATGAAGCTACAGGTGGCTGATGGGTTCTTTCCCACACCGAGTCCCTTGGCTCCTCCAGGGCAGGGAGCCCCAGCAGCTTCTGGGGTCAGGAGGCCCCTGTGGTGAGTGTCAGAGGAGAGAGCGTGTCCCATGTGGAGGCCTGCTGTTGGGTGGCACGCCCAGCTGGAATGCACCCATGGCTGCTGCCGGGGAGGCCCCTCTCCCTCACAGGGTGCCCACTTGGCCACAGGGATGACACTCACTCTTAGCAGCCCCAGAGGGGCAGGGCCCTGGGCCCTCCCAGCTTCCAGGCCATGTTAAGTGAGGGGTGACATGTTGGACTTAGGTAGGTCCTGGGTCCTGGAAGACGGTGACCACCTGGAAGGACCGGGAGCAAGGCCACTCTGAATATAGGCAGAGGGACAGCTCTGACCACCTGGTGAGCTGGGGGACACCCCAGGGGAGAGGAGGAGCCCTCTCCCACTGCTCCTAGGTTCTGCCTTCCAGAAGCTTCTGGACACCTTGGGGTGCCAAGAATGCTGAGCAAGGGAAAGAAAGGCAGCTGAGGCTCAGCTGGGCAGCAGGAAGGCAAGATGGAAAGTCCATGGCGGGCTGGGACAATCTCGCCTTTGGGCATCTTTACAAACATGACCCCTGCCCCCACCCCCTTTGTCCCAGGAGTCTTCACTGAGGGGTGGCCACAGGCGGACGGCTGAAAGACTCGACCCCTCAGAGGCCTAGGGGCTGCACGCACGTGTGTGCACATCACCCATGTGCATACGTGTGTGTGTGTGTGTGTGGAGGGGCACAGCCCTCCGCTGAGGTGCGTGGAAGCAGCAACACAGGCACAGGTGGACCAGAGACCACCTGAGCACAGCTCTGGGGTGGCTAAGCAGATTGGCAGCTGGTGGGGACCCCGCTGCACAGCAAATGACCCCTGCCTGCACCCACGTCGGTGTCAGCTGGGATAGGGGAGCTCAGGCCTGTCCCTTTCTGCCTGAGCCCTTGCCCTAGGTTTCCCAGTCAGGGGTGCCAGTGGACCCCGTGGGGCCCTGGCTGGTTCTGAGGGGGAGCTCCCTGCTCTGGATGCCCCGACTGTGAGGCCTGAGAGCAAGCTGGGGGTGCTGTGGCCAGAGCTGGGCTCTGGAGACCTACAGAGGAGGGTTTGACTCCTGATTCTGACCCTCCTAGCTGTGTCACAGGTGATCAGTTTCTCTGAGCTTCAGTTTCCCCATCTGTAAAATGGGGCACATCTACCTCGAAAGGTTCAGGGAAAGATGAACTGAGAAGGTGCCTTGAGGCGTCCAGCACAGTGCCTGGCCCACAACAGGGACTGGAAAGGGCCACCATTGCCTCCTGGCACTCGGGGCGGGAAAGCTGGCCTGGGAAAGGGCCACCCTGGTGGGGAGCCCCCCACGCTCTCCTCCACGGCCCCCCGCCCTGGGCAGACCCTGGGAGCTCATCACTGGAGTCAGGGAGGGCCAGTTCCTTTATTCACTGTCTCGTCTCCCTCGCTCCGATGCCCCTCCGGCCCCTTGTGGGAGCTGGGGACACGGGGGAAGCGGACCACCCAACCCTCTGAGACCTCAAAGGCTGGCAGGGGGAGACAGGCGTGTGGCCACGGCCGTCTGGGAGGCTGAGTGAGAGTTTGTCAGGGAGAGAAGGTGGCGGGGGGCATTCCAGGCAGAAGACGTGGCCGGGCAGGAGTGACCGTGTGGCTGGAGTGTGGAGAGGGGTGGGGAGGGGCCGGAGCGCCTTTCAGGTGAAGCCGAGGAGCCCGGACACCATTGCTGGTGCGGAGCCCTCGAGGTAGAGCAAGAAGCTGGGGGAGGCTTTGACCACATGTGATGGGAGCCTCCGAGCTTGGGGTCTGGGAGCTGGTCCTCCCCCAAACCTGGTCCCCACTCCTCTTGCAGCCATGAGGGAGGGTTGGGTGACTGCTCACTCGGCAGCCTCCTGCGAATCAAAGCATCCTTTGCCCCTTCTGTGTTGAAGGCGGCTCCTCAGTCAGTGAGAGAGGCAGGGCTCGGCGGGGGGGGGCAGCCCCCTGGCCCTCTGGATATCGAGGCTTTGCTCTCCTTCCGCCTTCTGTAGAGGAGAGAAACCTCTTCCCATGGTTCCATTGCAGGCTACCCAGGAGGCTTAAAACCGGGTGGACTTCAGGACAGAGTGCCGCCGGGTGCTGTGTGTCGCCTTCTTCACTGCCCTGTTCAGGGAAGACACAGAAGGGCTGTGTCTCACAGGGCAGAGCATCCATCCTGAGGACTCAGGAGACGCTGCTGCCCCATTCTCGGAGGCCCAGGCCTGAGCTCCTGCACACACGATGGAGGGGGGTGGGTGGGCAGTGACAGCCCTGATAGACATCTAGGGTCTTTAGGAGTAGAGTCTGGGGCCTGTGAGGACCCCAAACAATGGCCATCACACCCTCGGCCCTCCCCCTTACAAAGGCTACATACCCCCTTCCCCTTGACCTCTCTAGACGGGGAGCTGGGGGTAGCTGGGCTATTTGGGCCTCAAACGGTGGAATGAAGAGCAAGGGACCAAGTCCATACTGTCAGCTGGGAAACCCAGCCCCTAGTCTCCACTCTCCCAAAAATGTGCTCTGTGACTCTGGGCCGATCCTGTCCCTCTCTGGGCCTCTGCGTCTCTCTCTGTCCAGTGACAGGGGTGGGTGGCCAGGCCTGCCCTGTGCTGGTTCTCTGGAGCTGGGTCCACTCACTGTCTCTGCATATCCTGGATGGTGTCGGGCAGTGGCAGGCCCTGGGTCTCCGGCAGCAGGAAGGTGGCCAGGCCACTCAGCACGGACGCCGCCCCGTACAGCAGCAGGGGCAGTGAGGGGCTCTGGACAGCCAGCAGCCGGACCATAGGCCCCAGGATGGCTCCCCCTCGGGCCGCCATCTGGCCCAGGCCCACTGCGGTCATCCTGCCGGCACAGATGCACCTGTGAGGGGCTGCTCTGCCTGCCCACGGCCTTGACATCCCACTCTGGCCCAGCCCTGCTCTGCCCAGGGAGGAACAGTGAGTCAGGCTGGGCCGGGATGAACCTGGGCAGCCCTGAGACCACACGAAAGATTCACAGCACGAACATCCGGTCTGGGGGAAGGCCACCCCCACCCTTCCCTGCCAGCCCAGGGGTCCCCTCTCCTTGGGTCCAGGCACAGCCTCACCTGAGCACAGTGGGGAAGAGCTCGCCAGTGTAGATGATGATGCAGGTGAAGGCGGCGCCCACCCCCGCAAGCCCCAGCACGGCCAGGGCTGAACGCAGAGTCCCCATCTCTGTGGATAGAGACGGGGTTAGCGAGGTTGTTGGCAGGGGCTCCAGCGTCAGAGCAGGGCTCTGTCCAGCCCCCAGGGTGCTCTCTCCCTGACCTTCCAAATGTCTATGAGTCGCTTCCGCCTGGGTGTCCCCAGACTCCACACATGCACTGTGTCCTAAGTGACCTTATGGCCACATTTCCTGTCTCTCCAATCTGCTCCACACCCAGACACCCAGAGCTGGACCCTGAGAGTCCCCCTTGACCCTCTTCATTTCCCTGTCCTCCACCCTCCCCTTGCAATCCATCAGTGAGTTCTTATATATATCTCCATGATTTTTCACTATGCCGCCCCCTCCATCCATCCCTGCTCCTGCCCAGCGCCGGCCACCACCATCCCTCCCAGATGCCCCAGCAGCCTCCTTCCTAACTGCTCTAGTCCAGCGCCCTCTGAGGAGGCGGGCCAGGGGTCCCTGTTCCTGGCTCAGGCCCCCCCCAGGTAGGGAGCCTCAGGCCACAGCCACGTGCACCCCTGTCCCCCGCTCACCGTGGGGCACCAGCATGTTGGCCAGGATGCACAGCCCCGTCAGCATCAGGGACACCGCCTGCATGGGCCTGCGGCCCACACGGTTGAGCAGCAGCAGGATGCTGATCTTGACCAAGATATCCACGACCCCAATGAAGACTTGGAGCAGGAAGACGTTGCTGCCTAGGGCCTGCAGGTCCAAGGCCAGGCCATAGAAGGTGAAGCCAAAGCCGAACCTGGCGGGGAGGCAGGGGGAGTCAGGCTGGGGAGCAGGCTGCTCACTTGCTTATTTGTTCTCAGACCCATTTCCACCTTCCTCCTGCTGACTCTGTAGCGGGAGAGGGCGTGTGGTCTCTGTAGACTACATTTCCCAGGTTCCCTTGCCAATGCCACTCCTCATTAGGTTGGGCCAATGGGAGGCACTGGTGAGAGGCTGGAGGCGGGACCAGGGGAGAAGCTGAGGTATTCCTCCCTCCTTCTCTCTGGGTGCCATGTCTGGCAGTGGCTGTGTCCCCTCTTTGGCTCCAGCTTCCACTGAGCAGGCCCTCCCTCTGTGGCTTCGGTGGTCTTAGTCTTTGCTGGGTGACCCTGGCTCCTGGGCTCTGATAACACCCCTTCCTCCTCTCTGGTCCCTCCAAACTAGGGTGGATGTGCCTTTCTGCCATCGAATTGTCTGAGTCCCTCCTCAGCCTATTGCGCTCTTCAGCTCTCCTAGCGCCTCTGTTATGAATCCTCCTAATTAATCTCTTCTATTGACTCCCCCTCACCCCCACCTGAGCCTGGGCTGTTCCCTGTCAGGAGCCTGACTGAGAGAGGGGAGGTGCCAGTGCTGCAGGCCTTGTCCTGGAGGTGCTCTCAGGCCAAAGGGACCAACAGAGAGTCAGCAGAGGCCCCCCAGCCGGATGCCAGCCAGAGCCCTGATTCCAGGTTCCCTGGCTGCAGGCAGCCAGAGGGTGGGCCAGAGGTGGAGGCTGGGGCCCAGGTTAGGTGGGGGCTGAAGGGGCATCTACCAGCACAGAGCGGAGACACAGGTCCGGAGGCCCAGTCCAGGCGTGCGGAGCAGGGTGCCCAGGCTGGCAGGAGCCTGGCTCACACTCAGCTCCTCCTGCATGGCTGACAGCAAGACCTGCAGGGGAGAGGCACTGTCGGCACTGGGGACACCAGGCAGGCCCTCATCCTGGGGGGCTGGAGCCCTTGGTCGGTCTCCCAGGGGCCCTGTGCAGGGGCAGGAGAGGGTTTGAGGGTCGAGCCCTGGGGGAAGGCCCGGCCCCGCCTCACCTCGATGGTCAGTGCGTCTCCTGTTGCCCTCTTCCCGTTGATGGCAGCCACCCTCTGCAGCTCCCGCAGGCCCCACTGCAGCCTGCCCGTGATGAGGAGCCATCGTGCAGACTCAGCCAGCCACCTGGGGTGGGGAGACGGAGGAAAGTGGGAGGGAGTCACTGCCTGGCCTGCTTGAGCCTCACTGCCCCTCTGTCCCCCTCTGTCCAAGGGGGTGGCCTCACTATTGCCCACAGGCCCCAGGCTCAGGTGGCTGAGGTCAGTGGGCGGGCAGTGAGGGGCACTGTGGCGTGTGGCAGCCACGCCATCTCAGACGCCTTCCTTCCCCAGAGGCCACCCTTTCTGCCTCCTCCCTCCCCCTCCCTTGGGTGGGGGTTGGGGATCTCTGTTCTTTCCTTCCCGCCTGCCTCCCAACCCCATGGCTCTTCCCCTGCCTCACCCAGGAAGCAGGCCTGGGTGGGCCTGTGTGTAGTAAGGACCCCCCAGTGGCTACAGGACCACAGTCCCAAGCCCACAACAGGCTACCAGCCTGCCAGGGTCCCCCACTGTGCAGCACCTCCCGCATGTCACCCAGCTCTCCTGTTCACCCCCATGGCTGCACCTTCCTGCCGAGCTGGCTCCTCCCTGGTGCCCCTCCCTGTAAACAGCTTCACACCCACCAGGGGCTCAGGCCTGGAGCGGGGTCTTGGATCCTGACATCACCAGCCCCCTCCACCTGTACTCAGTCGGTCACCAATTCCCATCACCTCGGGCACCCCTTGCATCCGACCGGCCCCACTGCTCTTGCCTGGCTTTTGCCCCTTTCGCCAGGACAAGAGCTGCCACCTCCTGGATGCCGGTCAGCCCCACGCATCCCAGCTCCTCCTCCCTGCGGCAGGACCCCGCCCCTAACACTAAGCTGGCTCCCACGGCCCTCAGCCTCGAGCCCAGACCCCCTGCACTGTCTGGCCGAGCTGCTGAGCCCCCTGTAGTGTCCACCACTCTGCACTGGCTCCTGCCTCCACGCCTTTGCTCACGCAGGCCTCCCAGCCAGACACACCTTCCCCTGTGAGCAGCAGCCAGGGGCCAGGCCACCTGCTCCACACCCACTGGGGCCCTCAGGTCCTCTGGGGTTTGCAGAACAGGGGAGAGAAGGGGGACTCAAGGTGCACATTAGAGGAAGAGGTGACAAGACCCCACGACCTGCTGGGCTTGGGCTGAGGGAGAGGGAGGTGTCATGGCGACTCTGACTCCAGTGCCTTGTGGGTGGGGGCTGCTATCAATGTTGAGGAAACCTTGGGAAGGAGCGGGTGTGAGATGTTACGTCTCTGGTGCTGAGACACCGGTAATGGAGATGTCACCCAGACGGTTGGAAACACGAGGCAGGAGGCGGGGGAGAGGCAGGACTGAAGAGGCGATTGGGGGCTGCAGCATTTGGAGGGAGTCAGAGCCGGGGGCACAGGTGAGGTTGTCTGGGGAGAGAGCATTGATGGTGCCTGCCACATGCTGCAGGGGCCAAGAAAGGTGAGAGCAGAGCGATGGCGACAGGGTCATCATGGGTGGGTGAAGCCCAATTGGGGTGGGTTCCAGCAGACTGGGAGAGAGGAAGTGGGGATTGCCCATGCAGACACTTCTCGTAGATAGATAGATAGATAGATAGATAGATAGATAGATAGATGATAGATAGATAGATGGATGGAGGAGTGGGTAGATGAGTGGATGAGTGGATGGATGGGTAGGTGGATGGATGGACAGATAGATAGACAGACAGACAGACAGACAGATATTGGTTTTGAAGAGAAATTGGTTTTGAAGAGAAGCAGAGAAGCTGGTGGGAGTTGAAGAGGCCGTGGAGTCCCATATTCAGATGCTCACATCCCCTCTTATTTGTCAATCCCTAAGCACGGCCTGTGTTGCTGTGAGGTACAGGATTTCCTGCGAGCTCCACACGGGCAGTGACCTATCTCATGGCTGTCACTCCCAGCTTCAGCCAGTGCCCTGCACATGGTGGGTGATCAGTAGTTATTTGTTGAAATAATGAAGTAGTGAAGTAATGAATGATTGTGGGCACTCACACAGCACCTGTGTGGGCATGTCTGCCAAGGAAGGTGAGGTTCAGCCCCAGGGGCCAGCGTCAGCATTGGAGAGCCAGGAGGGGTGCCCCAGAATCTGTATCACTGACCTTCACCCTCCAGCCTCCACCCTGTTGCTTTGGAGGTCAATCTGCCATCCCAGAAGGCCACGTGTCAGGCAGGATTGCCTCCTCTGAGAGCTACTGCCTGAGATGTAATTGTCTCCTGCTCTGGAGAGTGACTGCAAATTTGTTGGTAAAGCCTCCATTTTAAGAGCTTTCCTGCTCCAAGCTGTTGGGCTGGGAGAGATTTGTGGAGTCAGCCTTCCTCCTGGTGTGGGTGCAGGCACCCTGTCCTCCACTGGGTCTCTGCTGTGCTCCCTCATGCAGTGGCCATAGTAGCAAAGTGACTACTAAGTGCTGCACCTGTGCATGAATGAGCCAGGCTCAGCCCTGCCTGGAAGGGCCTCCATTTATCTATCCATCCATCCATCCATCCATCCACCCACCCACCTACCCATCCATCTACCCATCCACTCACTCATCTATCGATCTATCGACCTACCTAACTATCCATCCATCCACCTACCCATCCATCTACCCATCCATTTACCCATCCACTCACTCATCTATCTATCTATCTATCTATCTATCTATCTATCTATCTATCTATCTATCTATCTCTCTGTCTATCTATCCATCCATCCCTCCACCTACCCATCCATCTACCCATCCACTCACTCATCTATAGATCTATCGATCTACCTATCCATCCATCCACCTCCCACCCACCCATCCACTCATCTATCTATCTATCTATCTATCTATCTATCTATCTATCTATCTATCAGTCTATCATCTATCTATTCATCCATCCATCTACCCATCCACCAACTCATCTATCATCTATCTATCTATCTATCTATCTATCTATCTATCTATCTATCTCCCTATCATCTCTCTCTCTCTATCGTCTATCCATCCAACAAATATTTACTCTGTACCTACAATGTGCCAGGTGCTTGGCAAGGGCCATGCCTGGTTTATTTAAGGGCAGCGCAGACATTTTCTAACCTCCCATATCTGTCAGCTCTGTCTGGGGTACCGGGGAGTCCCCCTGACCACTGGGTCATGGTCCCTGCTCTTTAGTAATAATGTCAGCACGTAAGGCCAACTATGCCTGTGATCTGGAAGTGTTGAGTGTGTGTGTTGTATCTTTGCACCCCACCCTTCAGCCTGGCCTAGTGCCACCACACTTGGCACAGAGAAGGGGCTCAGAAAATGTGTCCAGAGGCGCACATGCCGAAGCAAGCAGGGGGAAAGGGCCAAGAGGTGATGGGAAGGAAGTGGGGGAGGGAGAAGGATGAGTAAGGGAGAAGGAAGCACCTGGGAGAAGCAGGGAAGGAGAAGCGTCCCAGGCACTTGAGCCCTGGGTCAGAGTGGGTGAGTGTCACGGGCTGTGGCCCCCCGCTGTGCCCTGCTCCCCTGGCCTCCTGCATCCCCAGCCCTCTGCTCCCAGGGCGGAAGGTGGGCAAGGTCTCCTCCGAGGAAGGGACGGAGGCGGCACCCACCAGGAGTACACAAAGCAGAGGAAGAAGGGGGCAGAGATAACTAGCTGCAGCAGCACCCAGTCACGCAAGCCGTAGGCCACCGCGGCCATCAGGACCTGGCCGAAGCTGAAGCCCATGGCGTTCAAAGTCATTGCCAAGACCCTGGCCTGCGCCGACGTCCACTCCATCACTGCAAGGAGAGCGCGGGGGTCAGCTGGGAGCCCGCATGAGCCTCCCCTGCATGGCCCCGGGCCAGGGGAACCTACGGAGAGTGGCCGTGTTCATCATGATGCCCGCCACTGCAAAAGCCATCAGGAAGCGGAACAGGCAGTACATGGGGAAGGTGGGGGCGAAGGCGACGGTGGTGCCCCACACGGCCATCTGAAGGTAGCTCCAGGTCAGCACCAGCCTGCGCCCGAGCCTGCGGCACACACACGGGGAGGGTGATGGGTCCGTGGCATGCCACAGCATCAGCCATGGGGGTCTGGACCACCCGATCCCACTCTGTGCTGCCCACTGAGCAGAGGTGGATGCTAAAGGGACACCTAGGGCCAGACCCACAGTCTTTATCCCCGGAGGGCTTGTGAGTACAGGCAGCATCCCTGCGGCCCGGGCAGGCATGAAGGCACTCTCGACAGAGAATGAGCTCCCTGTCAGCAGGAGCAGTCAAGCAGTGGCTGGAGCCACACATGTGGCTGAGCAGGTTTTAGCAGTGAACGTTTGATTAGAGCAATGACCCTCCACAACCACAGAGAAGAGTCGGTGAAACCGAGGCCCAGAGAGGGTACAAGACTTGCTCAGCAGCACAGCTGGAGGGTGACAGGAGGGAGACCCACACGCAGGCATTCCGATTGCAAGCAGAGAGCTTTCTCCCCAGGCCTGGCTGCAAGAGGCCAGCTCAGGGCCAGGCAGGGCCAGGGGTCTAGGAGCACAGGGGCAGTGAGGGAAAAGGGGGCCTGCCTGGATCGGGGGGTACTCACCTGTCGGAGGCTTGGCCACACACAGCAGCTCCCACCAGGATCCCAGCCAGGTAGATGGACTGGGCTATGGGCCTCAGGGCCTGCGAGTCACACACCAGGTCCCACTGGTGGGAGAGGAGAACCCAGGTGGGAGGGGGCAGAGGAGTAAGATGGGAAGGCTCCCGGGAGCTGGGTGTGGGTGGCCAGCCTGGTGACCTCTAGGGTCATAGGGCAAGGCCTTGTGGGTTGGCGAGGGCTGTGACCCCTTGCCTAAGCCCACCCATGGCTCCCTATTGCCCTCTCTAGCTTCATGTGCCCTCCCCTGCCCGCCCACTCAGCAGCAGCCACCCAAGCTGGCACCTCCTCCCCGCGTCCCGAGGCCTAGGCTGCTTCCTTCCGGTTCTTACAAAGAGGCCCCTTCTCACTTGCTGGGATGGCCGCCCCTCCCACTTGCCCAGATTTGTCCGACGCGCCTCCTGCGGGAATCCAGTGACTCTTCCCCAAGTCCCTGGTGACAGGTGGTGGAACTGGGATTACGGAGCTGCCTAAGTCAGAGCTGATAAGTTGCAGCAGGGCCAGCCTGGGGGTCCAGGGCACCCATTTTCGGTGCTGCCCACTCTTCCATGAGCCTGTGGCCAGTGTCTGTCTGGAGGCTGAATCCTGCCACCAACCCCTCCTGTAGGGCGATGTGGCCGAAGAGGGGCAGGAAGCCCACCTGAGACTGAGGAGGCCGGCGGAGGGTCCCTCCTGGGACTGGACTATTTTGAGTCTGGCCAACTATGAGCTGTGACTTTGGTCTCTAAGGTGCCAGGGGCTGGGGAGGGTATCGGGGGAGCCCCTTACCTCGGCCACAATGGTGGAGGTGAAGGTGCTGAGGTCGTAGACCCAGCCGTCCACGCACGGCTCCGTGGCGGCCTCGCTCCAGTTGGTGGCTGTGATGTTGGGGTCCAGGAGCTGCCACTGTGGGTGACGGAAGCGGCGACACTGGTGGGGCCCATGGTTGGGGCCCCGTGGGATGGAGACGGTCAGGAGGGCCTCGGGGCCCAGGGTGCCGGGGGTGCTGGCTTGGGCAGTGCCGTTGTCCAGGAGGGGCACCCAGCAGCGGTGACTGGGCACGGCGGCCGAGAAGTTCTCCACCAAGTTCTGAGTGGTGAGCCACATGATGGGGACCACCAGGGCCACCATCTGGAGGACCTGGAACCTGCCCAGGGCACCCACTCGGTCCAGGAGTTCAGAAAAGGCCATGGAGCCTAGCCAGGGGTCCCCGTGGAGGTGCCCACTTCACAGAGGCTGGCCCAGGGCCAAGGGGCCCCCACGAGGGGTCTGCCTCCCCCCTGGCAGCACCGGCTTCGCCAGCCAGGCAGCCTGGAGCACGGCAGCAGCCACCTGCTTCACGGACGCGGGGCCAGATGCCCACCCAGTAGCTGTCACTCTGGGTGGCTCCACCTGGGACCTGAGCCTTCAAGGTGTGACCCTAAAGCCATGAGCATCTCCCCAGAGACACAGCTGTCCCTGGACCTCCAGGAGAAGCTGAATTTGGGATGTGGGGAGAGTGGAGGCCAAAGTCAACCAGATGAATTAAACTGTGACCAAGTGGCACTTAATGGGGTGGGAGGTAGTAATCATTTCCTTGGTCAAAGTTTAACCCGGCTCTGAGGGAGGCACAAATGTGAAAGAACAGCAGCCTCTGCCCTGCGCGGGCTGGGAGGCCTGGCCAGGAGTGGCCTGATCTTTGCTGGCAGTGGAGGGGGCCTGGGCTCTGCCCTGGGACTCCGTGGGGCCCTTGCAGGGTGGCTGTGCCGGCACCATGAGCTGACCCAGGAGAAGCGCTGCCTGGGATGCTTGTAATCCCGGGGCTGGGGTGACTCTGGAGCGACATCCCCTGCACTGTGGGGACCTCTGTGTGTGTGTGTGGCCCGAGTCACCAGCAGCCATCGAGCCCCACGCCTCCCAGCCGGTGTGGCCCAGCCCTGGCCCCTCACTTCTATCGCCTGCTGTCATCAATGGTGTCCCCCTCTACTGTCACCCTCTCCTGAGCCTTCGGTGGGGCTTACCAATGTCACCAGGCTACCCAAGCTCAGTGTCCCCAAAGCCACTCCCAGGTCTCTATCCTTTCCCAAATCTACTCCCAAATTTAGGGTCTCGTTTCACGCCTCCTCCTCACCTCCCAATCCCACCAGTGGCCAAACCCTACTCATTTCTTCCCCCCCACTCTCTACAGCTGTGCCTTCCCTGGTCTCCCTGCCTCTGCTCCTGCCCCTTCTACCCATCCCCCAACTGCAAGACCCTCCTGTCGGATCTTGTTTAAAAGCCAGGGGGCTCCCTCTCAACAGCAGCTGGCCAATGCCTCCCTTGGCAGGGGTGGGGCTGGGGGAAGTAGTGCATGCTGGGTAGGGGGAGGCTCCAGAAATATTGGACCACAGCCAAGAGAGCCCTCCTTGGTGTGACAATTAATTCTCCAGGCTGAAGGGCCAGAGACCACAAAGCAGCAAAAAAGTGTGTGTGTGTGTACACATGAGTGCATGAATGTGCGTGCACAAGCGTGTGTATATGCGTGTGCAAGCAGACGGTGGGCAATGGAGCAGTGAGGGCGACCCATTTGTTCCCGTGTGCTTTGGGGCACAAGGCTGCCCATTTCAGAAATAACTCTCCTCCCACTTGCTTCTTTTTGTCTTGCCCACTCTTCCCTCTGCCCATCTACGTAGCCCACCAAGTACAACCTGTTCACCACCCTGGCCTCTGTGCCCTGTCTCACCCACTGCTTCCCGCATGCACCCTGTGCTGGCTCAACGGGCTCCTGCCCTTGCTCAGGCGGTGCCCCCAGCCTGGAATGCCATCTCCAGGCTCACCCTTGGGCCACATCCTGCAGGCACTGCAAGTGCCTCCTCCTCCAGGAGACTCTCCTTGCTTATTCCTGCCTCTCCCTGGGGCTCGGAGTTGGCAGTGGAGCCCCACCTTCACACTACTCTGCACCCTTCTATTTTTGTCCAGCTGGTCTCATTTCCAGCCAGTTCCTGGAGAGCAGGGGCCCTTCTTTAGAGCACCCTTGGAACCCAGTGCTAATTTGGACAGCAAATGGAGTTTCTATGAAGACTTGCATCGGTTGGTTTCAAGAACAGCTTCTATTTGTTTTCTGATTGTAAAATGAATGTACACACCTTCCAAAAAATTGAGAAAATATTGAAAGGTATAAAGAAAACCAAGATTGCTCCCAAACCCCTAAACCAACAGTGATCACCACTGTTGACACCTTGGTGTAATACTTCCAGACTCTGTTCGAGTCAGTGGTATGTTCATCTTCATCAGCCTGGGCTGCAAACTGAGCTTAACATCTCCTTTTGTGAATCCAATTGAAAAGCCTCTGACTTTTACCTAGTGATTCTAACCTATTTATGTTTATTGGGATTACTGTCATATTTGGGCTTATGATATGTTTTTTTCTTTACCATACTTTCCCTTTAAATCCTTGTTTCCTGGTTCCTATTTTCTGTGGAATCCGTTGTCTTTTCTTGCTCTATTTTTCTTCTGTCTTGGTTTGGCAATGGTACATTTAATTTTTGTTAACCTGATCTTTGGACACACGAACTAAGAGCTATCTTGTACTGTCTCCTCTCTTCAAATCTGCCCCCCTCCCCGCCCCACCACATCCTCTCTTAATAAAGGTCCTTTCTTCTTATTTCACTAAGAAAATAGAAGCCATCAGAAGCCAACAGTCTAATCCTCTCACCAGCACACCTGCCTCGGTGCCCACATTCTGCCTTCCCTCCTGGTGCCATAGATGCCCTATGTGCTCCCTCTCATCATGGCCAACTCCTCACGGTGTGCCCTGCACCTGCTCAAGTCTTCCCTCTCTCTTTGGCATCTGCCTTTTGCTCCCTACTAGATAATTCCCATCAATGTACAAATTGGCTGTTTTTTTTCCTCCAATCTTCAAAAGAGCCCCCTCCATTTCAAGCCCTCTTCTCTCTTCAGCTGCCCTTTCCTGCTTCTGTTTACAGTACAATTCCACGACAGCCTTATCAACACTCACCTGCTATTTCTCTTTTCCCATTCTTTCCTGGATTCATTCTCATCAAGTTTTTTGCTCCGTCACTCCACCGCCACCAGTGACGTCCCCACTGATGAATTCAGTGGCATTTTTCCTCCTCATCTTACTTGAGCTGTCACAGCCTCTCGCCCTTCTCTCTCCATAAGACCCTCTCCGCTGGGACTCCAGAGCTCGCCTGGCTCTCCTCCCCCTCACTACCTGCTTCTCAGGCCCTTTTGCTGGTTCCTTCTCTTCTCTTTTACCATCGGGGCCACAGGGCTCAGTCCTTGGTCCTCTTCTCTATCTATCTTCCCTATCGTTGGGACAGTTCACATCTTCCAGGACCTCTTCTTGGACTGCTAGACTTTGATCCAACCACCTAATCTTAGGGGCCTGTTGAAATGACTTGCTAGGCCCAAGATGGAGCCACTCCTGCCCAGGGAGCCATGTCAGCAAACCAAACTCAGATAACTTTAGTGTATCCGAAAAGGCTCTGGGTGACCAGAAACGCAGTATGTCCAGCCAGCCAACCCCCAAACGCCGAGCCAACTCTGGGTTCTGTGCTTATTTCCTTGTTCCTTCTCACCCCAAGCAAGGGTGACCATGCGGCCCCAGCCCATCAGACACTTTCTATTTTCTCCTCCTTTGATTCTTTATCCTATAGAAGCTTCCAGAATTCCACCCCATTTTGCAGTTCTCCCAGTGGAGACTGTCTGCCTCATGAAGTATTAAATAAAGTTTGGTTACATCACCTCAATTGTCTTCTTCAATCATTTGTTAATGGTTTTTGGGGACAAGGGTGGGATCCTAAGCGGACCGCTAATGGCCTGCAGGACAACGAGACGCACAGGCGAGGTGCCCCCGAACCCTCTGAGGTCACTGTCCCCTCGTTATTACCCAGGGCCATGGGTTAGTCACTCTCCTGTTTGAGCTCCACTTCCTTGTGTGCGGCTCTCTGACCCAAACAAACTTTATTTAAAAATAAGTAAGTAAATAAATAAATGTGTATATATATATATATATATATATATGTTCGTCAACATGGGTTGTTTTTTTTGGACCTGGGGACACACCGTGGATTTTCTGGCTGGATTGTGCAGCAGTTTTTTTGTGATTCCTCCCAGCCCCTGTGTCCTGTGGTGACAGCAACTGCCTCTGGTCCCAGGCCAGGCCGGAGAAAGTCCAGGCGGAAGTGCTTACTGTCGCTGACTCAGGAAATTCCCTGGGCAGCCAGCAGGGCCACCAAATCCAGGTTGAATCCAGGCAGGCGGCTGGAGGAGGTGGCAGCCATAACTGGCTGAGTTTGCTCTGTCCCTCCAGGGTCCCCAGAATTTGGGACACAGTATCCATGTGGCATCAGAGCCTCCACTCTCTTCCCTTCCCTCATCTCCATGGGCTGGATTCTCTGAGGGGGCTGGCGCTCCTGGGAGGAAGCTCTGGGTTGGCCCCTTTGAAGGCATCTGCCAGCCTCCAGCTTGTCACCCTTGCTCAAAGCCTTCGATGGCTCCCTAGTGCTACAGAGACACGGCCAAGGCACCCGAAGACCCCTCTTCCCAGCCTGTCTTTGGAGACTTTGCTTTCACTCCGAGGTCCCTGCCCCACGGAGCACCTTGTCTCCCCTGAGGTGCCCTGTCTTACCTTGTTTGCTGTTTTTTCCACCCGAATGCCATTGCCATACCCCACCTGTCCAAACCCGTCACTCCCTCCAGCTTCTCCCTCCCCTATCCCTGCACACCCCCAGGACAGCGCCACCTGCTAAAGGAGCCTCCAGCTCTTCCCTCCGTCACTTCCTAAGGGCCAGGTCTGAGTCACCGTGTCCCACCACAGCACTAGCTACCACTGCCACCCCCTCACATAGTTCCCATTTCTTTCTTGTGGTGAGAACATTTAAGATCTACTCTCTTAGCAACACTCAGGTATATGATACAGTCTTATTAGCTATAATCACTGTACTGTACATTAGATCCCCAAACTCGTTAATCTTATAACAGGAAGTTTCTACCCTTGGACCAACATCTCCCCATGTTCCCCACCGTAGCCCCTGGTGACCACCACTCTACTCTCTGTGTCTCTGAGTTTGTCTTCTTTAGGGTCCACATAGAAGCGAGTCCTTACTGTGTGTCGGGCACCACCCTGAGTCCTCTTCCTGTGTTAACTCTAATCCTTCCAGCCATCCTTCCAGACAAGAGAGGTAATTCTTGTACCCATTTTTACAGAT